ATTTTCTCTTCTACATCTGAGATTCTATTTTCTGAATGATCTAGTCTGCTTTTAATACTTTCAAGGGAGATTTTGACTTCTTGTATTATAGACTTCATCTCTAGCAGTTCTGTTTGAGTCTTTTGTAAAGTGTGTAATTCCTCTTTTAAATCTTGCAAGAATTTCCTCATCTCCTGGAACTCATCAACTTCTTTCTCCTTTCTCTTTAGCAGTTCATTATCTCTCTTCTCTTTCATCTCTGTTAGCTTCGACATAATGAATGCTCTAAATTCCTTATCAGACATTTCCATGATTTTCACTGAACTGCTTGTGTATGAAGAAGAGTTACCCTTTTCCCTTGAGGGGGAGGTATTTTCTCGTTTTCCCATATTTCTTGTGATCTGGTGGTGATTTCTTGTCATCTGATGGATGGTGTGTTTCTTTCAAATTCTTGAAGTTCAGCCTGAATGTTTAGGAGCAAGCAGACAGAGGTGATCTAGAATCTCTTTGCCATTCTGTTGTGATTGCTGGTGCAGCAAATTCAGTAGATATTGGGGAATATTTTAACCCTATTAGTATTTGGATGTTTAGCTACAGTGCTCTTAGATCTGTCGCAAGCTCATTTGTTGGAGGCTGAATTATCAGTAGAAAATCTTCATTCCCTGAAAAATCTAGTTCGCTGGAGTCATGTGGAACCTTCTTCTCAAGCATATATCATAGCTCCCGCCAGGACAGCATGCTCACAAGGTGAGTCTCAGGCTCTTCCTGCATAGGATCCTGCTGGTTGCCAAGGTGGGATTTTTTCCAACACCATTTCCTCAGGGCCAAAAATGCCTAACTTTCTAATGAATCTAGGTTTACACTGTACTCCACTCTGAGGAAATTTCTTAAATTTTACATCTCAAACCTTTATACTAATTAGAGAGGTACAGTAGAAAACTATCAGTCTGAGTAATTTTTTTTAAATCATTTTTTGGACTATTCCAATATCCTCATATGAACTGAAAGAAGATACCAACACATGTAAATAGCATAGGTATCTCTGTAAATGATTTATTTAAATATCAGTATTATCAGTTTTTAAATTTTCTGCAAATTTGTAAAGTCCTTAATATCTCAGAAAAAATTCTACACTTTGTTACCTCAGTGAGAACCGTTCTACATTTCATTCTGAGTCTTCTATTTCTTCCATATAAGTAAACTCTAAACATAACTAATTTCTCAATTTCCCATGAACTAATGTGACATTGACAGGACTTTTAATACTGACATTTCTTAAAGGCTCTCTCACACTTCTTAAACTACCAGTGTTATTTCAGGTTTTAGGCTTAGAGAGTGACATTCCGTCTCTCTCTCTATATATTTATTTTAGGCCACAGGGCATGTGCACTTGCCAGAGACAAAGAGAGAGGGAAAGTGATAAATTCTCCCTCCCCAGGGGGTATGGCCATGCCAAAATCCCTTTTCCTCTATTCTCTTTTTGAGATTTTGGATACCCATGCACACATACCTAGTGTGATTTTTCAAGCCACAGGGCCTGGGACTCAAACTGCAGTAGGTCATGTGGGAATCCAGTACCTTAATCGCCATGCCACCCATTAGCCCTGCCTCTTTTAAAAACACATACTTGATAAAATTATTCTGATGCATGTTATAAAGGGGAAATTCTAAGTTTCTCTAGTGGAAAAAGAGGAAGCTTTGCTATATACTTTGGACAGAGGCGAAGAGGATAAAGAACAGTTTCTTGAAAGCATTACCTGGTCTTGTCCATAATAATACTGTATTTTAATAAAGGATTGAATCATATAATTGTCTTCTATGTTTGACTGAAGAGGAAATTATTATATAACATGCAAACATCATCACAACTCATTGAGGAAATCTCAAGAGTAGGTCATGCACAATTTAATGATGTGATATCATGATTTAATGAAAACAAAGAGCCAATGACAGTTTATGGAGACATGTATAAATGAATTTTATGTTTTTATTTGAAACAAAGAGGAAATGGATAAAACTTTGAGTCACAATGCTTTCAGCATGTCACATGGAATTTTGAGTTTTAGATGGTCTGTCAATCTGAAGAGCAAAATTAAGAGTCTTTGAAATTAGATGATACACATAAGAAAGAAGATAAGAAGTGACTTAGGAGGAAAATTTGGATTGGATAAACCATAACACAGAGAATGGAAAAATGTATTCTACATAATTACTATACACATTCTTCCACAATTAACTAGTTTGATAATTACTTATTTCTTAAGAAAAACAACAATAAGGAAATAGCTCTAAACATGGTGACAGTAGCCCTTCAGTTGGGTATAAAAGTGAACATGAATGAGGAGACTCCCACATTTGGGAACTTGTTTTAGAAATCAGCTCACAACTTCCACCCTCAGACACCATGGTCAACTCTTGTGGCTCTGTCTGTTCTGACCAGGGCTGTGGTCAAGGCTTCTGTCAGGAGACTTTTTGTCATCCCAGTTGCTGCCAGACCACCTGCTGCAGGACCACCTGCTGCCACCCCAGCTCCTGCCAGACTAGCTGGTGTCGCCCCAGTTGCTGTATGTCCCGTTGCTGCTGCCCCAGCTGCTGTACATCCAGCTACTGTCCCCCAGTCTGCTGTCAGACCACTTGCCGCCCCAGCTGCTGTGTGTCCAGCTGCTGATGCCCAGTGTGCTGTCAGACCACCTGCTGCCATACAACTTGCTGCCATCCCAGCTGCTGTGGATTGTCTTGTTGACCTAATATCTATCTATCATCCCAAACCTGGCTATTATCATATCAAAGTGAAAGTGTCATTCATATGAACCTTTCCATGTGTTAAATGCTCAGAAGTTTTATTATTTTGTTGTATCACTAAGCAACTGGTGAAAGACCATTCATCTACATTAGATACCATTCATTTATTCTGTGGATCTTTTCCCTACTACATCTGGATTCAGATGCATGATCCAGTTAGACTAAGCCACAGAGTCTGTTTTGTTTGCCTTGATTTTCAAAATTATTGGTTAATTATTCTTCAGTAAATATTTTCTTGGCATCAGAAATGCTTATCTTTTTTCAGTTATTTTTGACAGTTGAATATCAGTTTATCACCTAGCACTATTTTTCTCAAGATGAAGAGAAGTTTGTGTACTTGTAGCCAGGAAAGAAAACTAATTTTATAAATATAATAGAATGTTTATAACATTTTTTCTCTATATATTTTTTATTTTTAACTCTCTCACAGGCATTTTCACATCTTCTCAAGAACCCTCTGAGGTAGGTATTATTACCTAACTAGCAAATGAGATAGTTAGCAACTTATGTGAGGTTGCATTATTAATAACTGGTATAGCCAGAAATCAAGTAAAAGTTTTTATAAGATAATCCACCTCATTTAGCTAACAATAGTTTTCTTATTCAGTCAGTAAAATGATTAAACACCTGACATGTCCGTTGGGGGATTATCTCAAGATTTATGAGGCACACTTGCTTCCTACAAGGAGCTCGCAGTCTAATCTTGGGAATTAAAGGAAGGGCCAGAGTAAGTAGGTAAAGAATATTGGATAGTATTGATCAGAAAGGGAAACTCTGTTTGAGAAGAGTATTTTTTTTTCCTTCAAGACAGACCCTTGCATATTGAAATCCTTATGCCTCAGGCTCCCAGTTGCAACTACTTTTTTTCCTGTTTTTATTTATATATTTTTATTCTTATTCATACATGAAATTGCTATACATCATTTAGATTGTGAAGAGACTTTACCCAACTTGGTATATACCTCAGACCAGCCAAGTTGAGACCACCATACACATCCTCATCAACAGATAATAAACCTTATCTGTGTCCCACAAGTGTCTTACCTCTCCATTCCCCCCCCCCCAAATTTCCTATGCTCTTCCCCTCTCACACTCTCTTTCCACTTTGTCTGTAGACTCTTTCCACTTTGTCTCTAGTGTCCATTACAATTTTTAATATTTTTATGTACTCCAGCAGCTACTTGTAGAAAACATCTTACTGTATTGGTCAGGCCAGCCTCAAGCTCACAATTCTCCTGCCTCAGTCTCCACTGGATTACTGGTGTACAACACCGTGCTCAACCTTACATTGGGCTGGTCATCCAACCAAGTCTCCTTGTGGTTCCAGCCTGGGAAGCATGGTGTATTAACAATGTGCACCACAAAGACTGGGGAAGTGGAAGGTATAATTTTATGAATAGAATGAATTAAGTCAATAAATTTAGGGTAAATGTGCAGGTCACAAACCCATAAGATGAAAAGAAGGAGAAAGAATAGGGAAGTGTTTACATTACTGCCATGACAAGATGAAGATGAGTCAAAAAATCACTTGAGATCAAATGTGACAGAGATATTTCATATAAATGAAATAATACAATATGCACTTTTTTTGTGTGTGTGTGTGGGGCCAGCAGATGACATAACGATTACATTGTTGGACTCCCATGTAGTCAACTGAGGTTCAAGTCCTGGACCCATTGGCTTAAAACTCACTCCAGGTGCATGTGCATGCATGCCAAAAATCCTGAGAGGAGAATGGAGGAGAAGGAATTGTGGCATGGCCATCTTCCCTGGGGGTGATTTCTTGCTTTCTGTCTCTCTCTGTCTTTCTGGCATGCACAAGTGCCCTACCTACAGCAAAAACAAAAAAACAAAACAAAACAAAAAAACTCTCTAGAAAAAGTTTATTTATTTATTTTTGGTAACCAATTCCTTTTACTTATTGTTTTTCAGGTTCATCAGCATTGCATGTAGCAATACTTCAGTCCTCTTATTGATGAATAATATGTAACATCTATTATATGGCTATACCTTGTTTTATTTATTTATTCATCAGTTGATGGGCATTTGGGTTATTTACACTTTCGGGCATTAGATATATACCTTAACTTATTGAAATGTACTTTTCTGACTTAGTTCCAGAGCAATGTAGAAACCTTATTCTTATGTAGCTCAATCGTTTCATTTTTTTGCTATTATTATTATATATATTATGTCTACATATGTTAAAAGCCAATGATACATTTTTATAATTATTACTTTATACATTCTTATGTCTTTTAAATAAGCTGAGTTATGCTAACCTTTTAAAAAAGTTTATTTATTTCTTACATGAGTGAGACAGAGAGAGCACTCACAAAAGGGTCTTGATGCTATGATTCACTTCTAGCCCTTCAGCTAGACCTGGATTATGGGCAAGCATGTGTCCAACATGCTCAGCAAGATCTCCAGATTTGAACCAGGAATCTTCCCAGGTGGTATTGCCTCACAGACCATTGCATTTTACTGCTGTGCCACCATCTGGCTCCCTGTATTAACCTTTTTATTTGACCATTTTAGTTCTCTTCATTTCTTCCTATAAATACAAGTTAACCAGCTGGATGTCATTATACTATTCCAATACGGTTTTTCTCCCACCTGTGGCCTTTGTGCTATTATTGTTAAATGTGTTGTTTCCAGTTGTTATAAGCTCAACACTAATATTTTCATTCTATTTTATGCAATTTTAAAAATTGTATTTTTTACATTTAATCATTGTACAGCCTTACAGCATACATAATGATTTTTCACAACATGAATATATTGCATATTACTCCAGTCCCAGACACATTTTTAAATCTGTGAAGAGAAGAGACATTTGCAAATATACACAATTATATACAGCCTTACCAACCTACAGAGTTCATGATGATTCTAGGAAAGCTCTCTGGTTGCCTCTCCCTCTGGTTGTCTCAAACATTCAGCTTCTCTGCCTGTGTCATGCTTGTATCATGAGCTATAGCCTCTCTCTCCACCAAGATCTCCATTGTTTTTGACAATGGCCTTAGGCATGGAGTTTTCCATGGTCAGTTACAAAGTCAGTCAGTCTCCAATGAAGTGCTTGGTCCTTATAGCCTGCCCTCCACGTTGGACAGCACCCCTGTGCTACTGCTCTGGGTCTAGGACAAGAACCTACCTTATTCTGAGTGAGTGATCCCCTTATTCTATTAGTGAACATCCCGGTAACAGCTCTCACATCCTTCTCAGTTGCCCATCCTGACATAGAATCTCTTCTCTATGAGCAAGATGAGGTGGAAGGGATGAGATTGTGCTTTACAGAAAACATTTAGACTTGATTTAGTGCAATAAAGGTTCATTAATTCTTTAATCAAATGGGAGAGAAGCAGGTATATCCATTAGTGCGCCGCTCTTCAAGGATATTCTAAGCCTGTAAACTCTCCAAGAATAGCAGATAACAGCGAAGGCACTTCTAAGTCTCTAGGTGGTTTATGGAAGTATCCACCTTCTTCCAACAACAAGGTGTCTGATCTTTTACCCACACACACTCCTCTAGAAATACTGATTTCCTCTCAAGTCACTAAATCCTTGGTCTTTTCCACCTTCTGAAGAAAATACGGTTTATTATGCCATACTTTACAGAACTCTCCTCCTATTCGTTTTCTTTTACTTATCCTTTTTTTTAACCACACATTCTTTGTTTTTAGTTTTTACTGTCTGAAGTACACTCAGTATGAGATCTACTCTCAAATATTTATTTTTTACTTTGCTATAGGACATGTACACTCACCAAAGAGGGAATAGAAAAGGATAGAAAGCGAGAAAGTGAAGTTAGAAGAGAAGCTTATGGCACTGAACTCTCTGGGGAACCTTCCCAGAATATCATAGTCAGTTTTTTAAAAAAAATTGTTTATTTATTTCATTTTATCTTATTTATTATTGTTACTATTATTTTTATGTTTGCTATAGGGCATGTGTGCTCACCAGAGAGAGACAGAGAGAGAGAGGAAGAGTGAGAAAGCAAGTCACCAGGTCCAGAACTCAAACTGTGGTTGGTCATATGGGAAGTCCACTACCCTAACCACCATGCCACTTGCTGGCCCCTATAGGTATGCTTTTTTTGTTTTTGATTTTTTTGGGGAGAGGTTTTTGCTATAGGGCACTTGCACTTGCCAGACAGAGAGAGAGAGAGACAGAAAGCGAGAAATCACCCCCCCAGGGGGGATGGCCATGCTGCAATCCCTTCTCCTCCATTCTCCTCTCTGGATTTTGGGCACGCACGCACATGCATCTGGCGTGAGTTTAAGCCACCAGGTCCAGGACTTGAATTGTCAACCACATGAGAGTCCAGTGATCTAATCAGTACAGGACCTTCTGGCCTTGATGTCAGTACTTCTTAAAGGAAATTTTAGGGAAGTCGTAGGTTATGAGTTCTTGAATTTATGAGAAAATCTTATATATATATATATATACCAAATGTCTGCACTCTGTAGAAGAAATGGAAATATTCAAAGATATAATAGTAGGGAGGACAAGTGCAGATAATAGAGACTTAATAGGAGGGGAGTGGATCATAGTGGGTGTGTGGGACACAGGGAGGAAACATTTAACAGACACAAGAATATAAAGTTACTTGCTGAAAAGATCCTTGATTTGACTGTCATGTACTGCATGCATGCTTTAAAAAACCATATTGTGTATTATAGAGATGTACAATGATTAAATGTAAAAAACAAATTATGAAATTAAAAAATTAAAAATAGAACTGCTATATGGTCCAGCAATTTCACTTCTGAGTATCTATCCAAAGTAAATAAAA